CCCACTGCAGCAGGGGCTGCAGCCTACGCCGTTGCCGGTGACTCACGGCAGCCCAGCTCCAGGTTGAGCTGTTGTTCAGCATCTTAGCTGTAGAGGGCAGTGTCACTGGCCCTCAGATGTGGGATCCAAACCGGGGTCCTATGGCTTCTCAAGCCAGCTCTTAACCAACGTGCCACTCGGCCGGCCCAGGAACCATATCTTGACCTCTCACACAACAGGTTAGTTGTACCTGGTTATTAATGTACACGTTGTATCCAGCTTCTTCCACTCAATATCATGTTCGTGAACTTCATCCACTGTTGCTTGTAGCTGTTGTGTGTTCTGTCTCGTTGCTCTGTGGTATTCCTTTGAGTCTACAGGTCGTTTATCCATCGTCCTGTTGGGAGTTTTTTGGTGAGGTATATCCATGTTTCTGTTGGGTAGACACCCAGGAGTGGAATTGCTAGGTCGTGGGTATGTCTAGATCTAGATTTAGTAGATTCTGCCAAACAGTTTGCCAGAGCGGTTGTTCTCATGGGCATTCCCGCCAACAGTGTATGAGCATTCTGTGTGATCCATGTCCTCACCAACCCTTTAATGCAGGTCGAAGGAGAGGCAAGTCATGGCCCCATGTCCAGGGAGGCCAACCCCGTTCCACATCTGGATGTTTCTTGATTCAGCTAACGTTTCTCCATGTTCTAACTGCCCCCTGCAGATGTGAACGAGTGTGGAGTGAAACCCCGGCCATGCCAACACAGGTGTGTGAACACTCATGGGACCTACAAGTGCTTTTGCCTCAGCGGCCACATGCTTATGCCAGACGCCACATGTGCCAGTAAGTTTCAACAGCCAGCTGCTCTCAGTCAACCTTTGAGGCTCGGCTTTGTCATTTGATGCTTGGGGAAAAGTTACCTTGAGTGATTGAAAAAAGCAAACTGTAACATCGCCCCAGGCTAAAACACCTTTGAGCACTTTTTTCTTTCATTGTGGTAAAACACATAACATGGAATTAACCATTTTACAGTATACAATTCAGTGGCATTTCATACATTCACGATGTTGTATAACCATCACCACTATCTAATTCTAGAACATCCTCTCTACCGCAGCAGGAAACCCACACCCATTAGTGGTCACTCCCCACTCTCCCCCAGCCTCTGGCAGCGAGTCATTTGCTTTCTGTCTCTATGGATGTGGCCATTCTGGATGCTGACTTTTTAAATAGAAAGACTAGCTGAGGAGAAAAATAAGTTCTATATCTCTCTATATGCAGGGAGGTATTGGGTTCCTTCAGGAAAATAAGCATATTGTTTTAGGAAGGTGATAAATTTAAATTCCATCTTGGGACATCAGTTTTTCCCACCGACTACCTTTCTCACGCCCCTTGCCCCACACTCAAAGATTAGTCACTCTTGTTGGAAATACATTGCGATTCACATTCCCGAAAAGAAAAGCCTTCTGTGATAAAGAGAAACCCATGTCCTGTGGGAGGGGAAGAGTCTATATCCATTCCTTTATTGAGAAGGAAGGCTTTTCAGGTTTTATGTTGTGGCTGAAAGGTAAACCCATCCTCCGTTCATCTCTCCCCTCCTCCCTCCCCTCTCTCCGTCTCTCTCTCCTCTGTCCTGCAGCCCCCAACAAGCCTGGAGCCTGTGCCTTCTGCCGGCTTCCAATGGTTGTAGTCCGCTGGACTCCCCAGCCTATCCTGCACTTTTCCCGTGGTTGTAAAGTCTAGGCTAATGCATGGCTCTCTGCTGCCTTGGCTGGTCCTTGTGGTGTCTCTCCTTGGCACAGTGCCCCAACACCACCAGTCATCTAGATTCTTCTTAGCAAGCAAGCTGGAGAGATAAAGCAGGCATTCAAGAGTCTTTTTTTAAAAGAGCCTTACTATTATAAATTAAACAGAAACCCACAAGAGACAAGCACATAGCTTAATGAATTCTTATAAGGCAAGCACCCATGTAACCACTACCAAATAGAACTTTGCCAGACACCCCCTCCTCCGTGGGAACCACTATCTATGCTTTTATAGTAATCACTTAACATTTTTGAAAAGATATATGCTAATGGATGTTTCTAAAACATTCCATTAAAGCCTAGACAGTGCCAAAAAAGATATCTTCCTCCCAATGGAAAGATAGAATTAGGTAAATTTTGAAAATTAATTTTAAAAGAAGACAACTAAAGAGAAGGAAGAATAAACTAGAAATATAACCATCAGTAGGTGTTTGTTACATTACCTCAGCCTGTGTATCTAGCCCTGTACCCGCTTTATCTATTTCTGTATGTGTACGTGTTACCTGTGCCTCCATGTTTATAGCTCCAAGTGGCCAGCTAGCCCTGGACCTCTCTCCTGGATGCTGACTGTATTTCACCTGACCCCTTGCAGTCTCTTTTGTCCAGCTGGGCGATTGGCATGTTATAGCTGGAGTAGATGGAGTATATGCATCATGCTCCCCTGTTGTACAAATTGATCCACACATACTGGACCCCTGCTGAGGAAATGCATCTCTGTGACATAAGTTAAATTTTTTGCAATGAATGCAGGAAAATACAACCGAATTATCTCATTTGCTAAAAAAAAGCTGGAGGCAGGCAGTCGCAGAACAGCTCAGCAAATACTCGGTCTCTGCCATCCTCAGGATATTGATTTCATTCTCATGCTTCTGGCCTCATAGTCACAATATGGCCGCTCCAGCTCCAGATATCACATGTACATTTAAGGTAGACAAGGCAAAAAGGAAAGGATTGACACCAGTGAATGAACGCCTCTTCATGCCTGCCCCTTTTATCGTGCAGCGGCATCTTTTCTAGAAGTCCCACTCCCTCCATTGGACTCATCTGCATATCTCTTTGGCCACACCTGAGTCACATGGCCACTCCTTGTTGCTTCAAGGGAAACTGGGAAAAAGACAAGCATCTGGCTTTTCAACCTCAGTGATGGGGATAGCAAGAGAAAAGAGGTCCACAATGGCTTTCGGGCAGCCAGTCAGCGGTACCTGCCCCATGTTTTAATACTGGCACCTAAAAGACCAAGTCTTGTGACTCGAGTGACTCTCATTGAGGCTAGACATGCATGGTGGGCCCTCTAGAATGAATTACTTGACCCCAATTACTCTAATTGATCACCTACATCAGAAATTGCATTTCGATTTCAAGCTGTATAGACCACCCAGAAGACGTCAAGCTCGTGCAGAAGGAGAAAAAGATGCAGTCTTTGGGGACTGCGGTGTGTGCCCGACCTACAGACAGTCAAATTCAATACATGGGCCACCAAAACAGACCATGGGGCCGCCAAGGCACCACCGCTGCCCCGATTCCATGTGGCTCTTCCATTTGCTTCTCGAACAGTGAAGCTTATCCCATAAAACCGTTCCACATGTTACATTTCCCATCCCAGAATTCAGAGCGCGTTGCTCAGTAAGCACTTTTGATGATCTTGGAAGGAAAAGGCCAATCCTTGCCTCCTTTTTTCAGACCTGAGAACGTGTGCCATGACAAACTGCCAGTACGGCTGCGAAGACACGGAGGAAGGGCCGCGGTGTCTGTGTCCGTCCTCGGGTCTCCGCCTGGCCCCCAACGGAAGAGTTTGCATGGGTAAAGCAGCCAACATCACCCCCACTCGCTCTCGCTTTACTGAAGTCCTCCTTTCTCATTTGTCACAGTCTGCTTGTTGACTAGACCTCACAAGCTCCCAAAAGTACAGATGTGCATCCATTTCTGAGACAGCCTTTTTACCCATATATGCTCTAGACACACTTTAGGATGCTAGAAAGAACACTTCTCTATTATTTGGGGGTTGCCTAATGCCACAGTGGAAAAAGGATAAAAATAATTTTATTTTAGTATATTTACCCTACACGTTTTACTTCGGCCACCAAATTGTATATCCTCATAGTACTGTACTTAATTTATAATGCACTAAATATACATAATATTTATAGTAAGGAGCATATAACACTAATAAGGGATGTCAAACCCTTATGTTGAAAGAGTTCTTAATCTTTTTGATCTAAGTAAGGAAATACCAGTATGATTTAATATTCTTACTTCCTTACTGCAATAGAAATATTTTTCAGTCAAGGTGCTGGATGTTTATTTATCCTAAATATATATAACTTGATAAACTGCATTTAGAAAGCTCAGCCAAATAGGTCCTAAATCAGTTAAATACTTTTTAAATATCATGTAAATGAAAATTTTGGCTCTGCTCTTTGAGAGTAATCAAAGATGTAATTAGAATCATAGGCTTTAGTACTCTGTAGTAAAATAAGATTTATATGACAAGGCTAATTCCTGACCAAACTGAATCCAAATTTTCATCCACCTTTTTGATTTGTCAGGTGCCATTTTTATTGGAAGGAGTAGAGGGTGTGCACGAAAAGTAATTTTTGTCAGTCCATCACTTATTTATCCTTTTAAGAATGCAAAGGCAACAATAAGCCAGCACCGACTTGTCTGTTTAACCACAGTTCCAAAATAACACTATGACATCTATTGATTTGATAGCTGAAAGTGAAAGCAAATCCTGAGTCCTAATGTTTTGGTGAACAGAGCTGGCAGCCCCTGTGTAACATGACCCTCAGCGGTACTAAAGGAAGGAAGCCTATTGTCTGCAAAAGTTGCATCTTTACATCATTACACTTGACCCACAATTTATACGAGTATATAAGTGCATTCTTAGGAAACCACATTTCTGTGATTTGGATCATTACTGGACTTGAAGGAGCTTGCTAATGAAATAATTCTTTTGTAAAGTACAAAATTTGATGTTTGTGTATTTGGTTTGCTTAAGGTGTGGCTATCTGACTTTATTTTCAAAAATTGTATATGCTCTGTAATATACATAGCTGTAAAAATATTAATTCACTCAGCAGACATGCAGTGTGTGTGTGCACGTGAGTGCATACATGTGCATATGTATTTCAGAGAGAGAGAGTACTTTTCTCACTGTCACTGACAACTCCTGGTTCTACATCCTAGATATTGACGAATGTGCCTCTGGTAAAGCCGTCTGCCCCTACAACCGAAGGTGTGTGAACACATTTGGAAGCTACTACTGCAAATGTCATCTTGGTTTTGAGCTGAAATTTATCAGTGGCCGATATGACTGTATAGGTAAGATTTGGTGTCACTGTTTCCTTTCTCCCTGGCCCCACCAAACGTGTAGGCTTTCTCTACAGCTATTTTGATTTAGTCTGTTAGTTGAACAATCTACTGTAACCGACCAGCTTAACAATACAGAAAAAGTTATGCTTTTTATGTTTCTGGCATTTAGGAAACTCTGATGACCTGAACTGTACGAAGCCAGGTCAGTAAAGATTTAAATTAAGGAACTTCAGTCTGTACAGCTCTGTTATGGGGGCAAATATGTTGAGGTGATTTTTGTGGCCTTTTAAAAAATAATCAGGTTGGTTTTGTTTTTAATTTTTGATTCTTTATCTAGGTGCATATCTAAAAATGGGAACAATAAAGCAGTTTTTGTATTTGATAAAAGGAAGAATAACAAGGCCTATTAATCTTGATCTTAGCGATCTGTTTATGACAGTTTCCATCAGGGGCGGCTTTAGAAAAATAGATGGAGGTGAAGACACATGCTCTTTCCTGCCTCTCTCAGCCCTTTCATGATTCAAGCTGCACATCCTCTGAAACGTCCCCTTTCCAGGGTCACTGAATCCACTCTGATCCTGCTATCAGCTATGGGCCTGATTTGTGGGAAATCAAATATTTTATCCCTTAGTGAAGGGATTCCAAGTCTCAATGAAGAAGTGAAGTGACGTGTTTGGGGAGGCCTTGGGTACATTCCCACCTCCCTGATATAATGTGGGATGGGAAATTCGGGCTCCCTGTAGAATCTTATTCACATAACATGTGTAGCAAACATGCACATGACATGGAAAGTTTACAGTTGAGGAAAAAGTAGGATTTCTTTCAGCCCTACACTCAGAGCATCCCAGGACACGTCCTGTGTAATCGTGTTGGGACAGCACTTGGTTCCTGGGTTTTGAACCATCTTGTGAAGCTTCCACAGCTCTTCTCTTAAATTTTCTCAAACACAAAGGCCATCCTAGACAGGCTAGTAAAATCCTGGTTTCTCGTGGGCTTGGGCCCACGCCCTGCTGCAGACCCACTCATTCAGCTCTGTAATCGGTGATGCTGTGTCACAGAGCAGAAACCTGTTTCCTGATACCCACAGGGAGGTTCCACAGGACAGGGTGCAAAGTCACATGGAGAGCTTCCCAAGGAAACAAAGCTTTGTGATTTTAGAAGTGATTGAGATTAGCATCTGAGCTCCCTTTGCAGTTAAATTGATAATAGTAGGCTGTTTTGTATGCATAGGTCTACAAAAGCACAGTACAAAAGTGATGACCTCTCACCTGGGTGGAATTTGGCAAACTTTCCTGGTCTATTTCCAGCGGACTAGCTCAGACCAGCCCAACCCTTGCTGCTGGCAGCCTTTGAACAAACTGCCTGTGAATGCAGATGATGTCAACGGTTCCTAGCCCAGCTTGTCCTTTGTGGGTTAGGAGTTCCATGCCCTTTCTTGTATAGAATTTATTTTCTGATATTGTGATTTAGTTCTAAGTTAGGCAGATGAAAAAGTTAAGAAAACAACCTAAACCTCTTACAGACTTCAGCAGTAGTGCTAAGCAGTTGAGATGGCCATGAGGGGCGTGGGCTGTAGACACACTGCCTACATACTGGGCATGAGGCAAGCCGGGGCTCTGGGCCAAGGTGGGGGAGTTACAAACACCTCTCAGTCCTCAGGCCACACTTGGTTTGGTGGCCGTGTTGGTGTTTGGCCCTGGAGCTGCTCAAGGGGAAGGGATGCTAGTCTTTTAGCACGTGGCGTTACCACAAAGTTGTTGATAGGATGTTCACATTTTTAGACGTAAATGAATGTGCTGTGAACCCCCAAACGTGCAGCCTCTACGCCAATTGCCTCAATACCCAAGGATCCTTCAAGTGCAAGTGCAAGCAGGGATACAAAGGCAGTGGACTTCAGTGTTCTCGTAAGTAGCATTTGGTCATGGCGTCTTAGTTTTTCCCAATAAAGCATTCTCTCCATGTCCCCTTCCTCCCTCCATTTCTCTCTCTCCCTCTCTCCCGCCCCCCACCCCCATGAGTGCATGCACAGCATTTGAAAATGTAACTGCCTCGGCCTTGCCTTCTCTGCTATTTGGACTCCGTCTCCAGTACTCACTGAAGTTGTAGACACTAAAGTTAAAGACTAGCAAGGGCTCTGGGTGTTTTTCTGGTCACAGCAGACTTTCAAATACTGAAAATAAGATTTAAAGACAAATGACCTTGAGCAAATGTATCTGTCAGGGTAGGCTAGGTCATGGTGCAGTAACAAGCAATCCTAAAATGTCAGGGGTTTAGAACCACTAAAGATTTTAACCATGTGAGTCAGGAATGTTTCCAGAATGCACAACCAAAACCAAGTATGATGAAGCCCATGTCACTTTCTCTGTCACCCTCAAACCCGGATTCACATTTTTAATGTGTAGCAGAGAGTCCCACTGTTCTCGCTTGTGAATTCCTTAATGCTTAGGTGGTAAAATCTTAAATTTATAAACCGAACATATAACAATAGAATGCTACTGCTATCAACAGCTACAGTAGTAATGGTTTATTTCTCATGCTGTCTGAAGAGAGTTATCAGGGTGTTTACTCTCAATGTAGTCACTTAGGGACCCAGACTGACAGAGGTCCCACCATCCTATGTCACCATGGCATCAGTCCGAGGCCATACGGTCTGTCACAGCAGGGAAAGAAGCATGGACAGTCACACACCAGCTCTTAGTTAATTTGGCTTGGAGATATATATATATATATATATATATATATATATATATATATATATGTGTGTGTGTGTGTGTGTGTGTGTGTGTGTGTGTGTGTGTGTGTGTATAATCCTGCTGTGTGTCCCGAAAGAAAAGAAAACTAAAAATCATGATGAGCACCTGGAATATCTACCAAGGCAAGACAAGTAACCATTACAGTGCAGTCGCTCCCCTGGCAAACAGCCATGTTTAAAGTCACAGTGTTTAAAGTCATCCAGGCTTGTCCCTCTGGTTGTGTCCTTTTGGCTCATTGGGTGACTAGATATTTTTCCTGCCCTGACCCTACTCTCTCATATACCCTTTAGCAGAGTTCCACATATTCTAGTAAATGTGGCTTCAAGTGGCACCTTGACCTGTATCACATCTCATGCCCCATCTGGCCAAGGCTTCTAATGACACAGCAGAGTGGCCACTTGGTGATGGCAAAAATAAATTGTCTGTATCATGATAGACATTTAGCAACACACCGATAAAAGGTTCACAGTACCCCAGTGGGCTGTGGTTGAGCACCCCTGGACAAACTGTGTACAAAAGAATATAACCAAAGAAAATGAGTCTGGAAATCAAATTCCATGAAGATGTGCCAAAAGAACTGGGCAGCATGTAGTCTAGAAGAAAAAGTAGTGTGGAAAAGTATAAATTGTGCCCGTAAATATTTTAAGGAATGTGAAATAAAAGTGGCTTCCCAAAGCAGACTAAGACCAATGGATGGAGGTTACACTCTCTCTTAAAAATGGCTGCCAGGTATCTGAGCATGGAGCAGGAAACCCTACTTTTCACTGTGCAGGCTTTCAGGCTAGGGGCTCTGGGAGAGATGCCTGCTTTGGCTGGAGGTGGGATTAAACGGCCATGCAGTCTCCAGCAACTCGATGTTTAGTTTCTGTCCCTCTGTATAGATGTGGCCAAGATGTCCTTCTGGAACTTTATTCAAAGAAAGAGAGATTGGCTGCCTGTGCAGATTTATGTATGGGGGAGGGTGCCATAGCCTTGAGAGGCCCCTGGAGAGGAGACTGAATACCATATTTTGCCATGTATACATCTATAATGCACACCCACATTTTTGGCCCAAACTTTCACGGGAAAAAAATCTTTCATTTTAATTTTTTAATTCAAATATTTATTTGTTTACATTTAGGTACTGTTTTTTTGCATTAGGTACTGGAATTTTAGCATTAGGTACTAGAATTTTAGCATTTATTTTTTTTAACATATTATGGTATAAGAAAGTTTATGTAACAAATAATTACAAAACACAAGAACAGATACAAGGTACAAGAAATTTTATGTACCAGTAACAAATTTACGATATGCATGCATCACAGAAAGCCAAGAACTCTTCGTTGTTGCAAGTTTGTGTAAGTTCAACAAAACCAAGTATTGTGTTCTGGGGTATTATTTCACATGTGGATATTGTTACTGATTTCTAGAGTTACACTTTTAACTCATAAGCATAAATGAAAAATTTAAAAACATTTATATAGATACAGAATTAGTACTAGCCATGTATAATGTGCATCCTTATTTTTCCCTCCCAAATTTGGGCAAAAAAGTGTGCATTAAGCACGGCAAAATATGGTAAATCAATTGCCATCTTGAATGTGACCGAGGGCTACTTCATACCACCAAATCTGAACGTGTGCATTGCAGCCTCACTTGCCTCAGGCCGTGTGGTATATGCTCAGCAGCTCAGGCTCAGGAGCTAGGAAGACCTGAATCTAAATCGAGCTCTGCCCCGTACTAGCTGTGATCTTTAGCTAGTTTATTAAACCCCTCTAAACTTAGTTTCCTCCCACCCAAAATGGGGCTCATGGTAGTCCTGTGGTGGGTGCTTATAATGGGCCAGGCCACAGTCCCTTGGAGCTCCGTAATTTCAACGAGGTGGGGTGGACAGCTCTATGCATACCCCTAACCCCAGAGCAGTGGACTGTCTCTGCAGTGTGGCCTTCCAGCTTTCTCTAGAAGGCTGCTCAGCCCCCTGTAGGTGCAACCCAGAGTTAATAGCCCTAGGGACAACCCTCAACCAGTGGGTCCAGGTGTCTAAAGAAACACCCATCTTCCCCTTCATAGGGCGGGGCATTTCTGAGATGTGCTCTGCATTGAGTTCATTGGTTTTGCAAAAGTCCAGACTCTACATTGCAATACAGAAGAGGAGTTAGTAGATTATCCTTACGCACCATCTGTACCCAGAAGGAAAAAGCACCCTAAATGTAGGTCTGTATTTGTTTATTGTTCTAATATGTGTGAGTAATAATAATACTCTGTTAGATCATTTGGCCTTAATTTGATAGCAACTGTACCTCATTCTAATAAAATCAACATTTTGGTATTACCCAACTTGAGTAATAATAATAGTCAATTTAAGAAAGGACACTGTGTTATTGAGTTACCAGTGACCTTGGCTTGATTCCGGGCTCCCCAGCCTGCTACCTGTGGACTGAGAACAAATCATTTAACCTTTCAGTGCCTCAGTTTCCACATCCGCAAAATAAAGATAATAGTATCAGGCACTTAATAGTTTTTTGATGATTACATGAAATAATCCACACATAATAAATAAATGTCCATATAAAGGGCTTAGCTCCAGCCCAGAATATATGAAATGCTCAGTAATCATGCACTAGTAGTGGAAGTAATAGTGGCAATGGCTTCTTTACAAAAACCAAACAATTGTTCCCATTGAAACACAGCTTCTTCAGTCATTAGAAATATGCTTCTGATTTAATTCAGTTTATACAGACCATTTTCAAGAACATAGGTATTGCAGGGCAGCCGGTTAGCTCAGGTGGTTAGAGCGCAGTGCTTATAACACCAAGGTTGCCGGTTTGACCCCCACATGGGCCACTGAGCTGCGCCCTCCACAACTAGAATGAGACAACTACTCGACTTGGAGCTGATGGGTCCTGGAAAAACATGCTGTTCCCCAACAAAATAAAATAAAATAATTTTAAAAATTTAAAAAAACCCCACATAGGTATTGCTTTACCCAGGCCATTCCAATTTTTTCTCTTTCAATTATAACGTAAGCATTAGAAGTTCGGAGGTATGGCCTGGAAATTTGATTTTTAATGCAGTAACAGATTTTCAACATTCTGGTAGTGAATTCTAAAAATAATTGCAAACACAAGCAGAATATATGTCAGACACTGATCTTAGTAATTGACATGCGTTCACTCATTTAAACCTCACAAAAACCCTATTCTTATCTCAACTTTGTAAATGGGAAGACTTAGGCAAAGAGAATTTAAGTATTGATTGGAGGGCACATAACTAGAAGATGTGGGAGCTAGGAGTCAGACCCAGGAAATGGCTGTGTAGTTAACACAGGATCGGTGGGTCCATGAGATGGGGAGCTCTCCTGGGCCCCTCCCTGACAAACCCTCCTGGCTAGCTTTTCTGTTGTCCTTGCTACTTCCCGTCTCCTGGGGTCCCTGGTGCAGTACATTCCTCATCCACGATTAAGCCTTTCATTTTGGGACTGTGTCTGAAGCTCAGATGACCCGAGCATTTCCCCTGCCAGATAAGAGATCATCTGCTGAGCTGAGCATAGGTGAATGACAGCCAAAGTCATCTTCCTCCTGAGCAAGATGTTCTCACATCAGTGATCTTTTCTAAGTAAAGTTACAATTTTCAGGTAGGTAGTTTTGGACAAAGTGGACATTTAGAGAAATCTCAAATCTCTCCCAAGAGAAATTGCCAGCTTCATCTACAGAGGACTGGCCTGTGAATTTGTAAACTTTGGAATTCCCTGTTTTTATATCTGAGCTCCCTAAAAGGGTCAAAAGCCCCACTACTGCTCTTCCCCTGGCATTGTTATCTTCCCAAGAAAATGATGCAGTGATCAAGAAATATTTATGAGGAAACAATCAGTTATGTCATATTTGAAATAGCAGTATCCAGTTAAAGCCAAATCTATCTATCCATAGTCATGCATATTCATAGATTTTTTTATCCTTGCCCCAGCTCTCTTTACCGTATGAAGGGAGTGAAATTGTTGACACCACAAAGATTGTGATGGCTTGATTTTTTTTATAGTATTTTTTTTATTAGTTTCAGGTGACTTTTTTTGTTTCAATAAGAAAAATCGAAACTTCAAAGCAAAAAACTGAAAACAGATGTTTAGGTTTGCCTGGTGTGGGTTGAAACCCTCTCCTTGTTATTTATTAAAGGTCCTTAGTTTTATGTTACTGATTGCATAAAGGAAATTTCCAGGGAATGGGTGTTTCCTGTTCATTTTTCATGCTGGGTCCTGGGAAAAGATTCAGGGGACCATGGATAGAGTTACACAGTGGGGCCTTCAGGGGAAGGTCTATATCTGATCAGCACATTGCAATCAAAACTCAACATGTGACCTCTGGCAGAGAAGCTGAAACAGGCCACCTGAAGGTCAGGAACATGAGTAATGATGTGTTACTTGTATTAGTAGTAGTTGGTTTTGAACATATAACTGTAGGCTGTCACATTGATAAATAACGAGGACATTTCTTTGAAAAGGGAAATGTAGCTCTTATCATAACAGCCTTAGATTGATTTCAAAGTGAAAGCAATGTATTCATTAAGAGCACATATATTTTCAAAGCATTTTTCTTTTTCCTTTTGATTACCCCCAAATATTGTGGACTTCTCCTTGTTTATTTTTCTACCACTTTGGTACAGATTGCATCAGCCAAATGAGGGAGAAGGAGCTGAGCAGAAGGGATGAAAACACTGCCAAGAAAAATATTTTAATAAAATCCTAATCCAATTTATTTTTATAGTATTTCAGTCTACTCCCTTATTTCATTTCCCTCTAAACTATATCCAAGTAGTTGAGTGAATTGGTTCAGATGCTCTTAGACAACTTCTTGCTTAGTTCTAGACTAGCACATGCCTAGATATTTTATAAAAGGACAAAATATTTTATTTTAAAAATCAGTGTTTTTAATATTTTAGAAGTTACTTTTTTACATCAGTTGGATTATCTTAATTATCATGAGTAGGTCCCTGGAAGGGGGGCATGCATCTTTAGATTCTAGATCTCAAGGATTTCAAACTAGTCTAGGGAAAAGTAACCATTAACCCTAAAGTAGGAATAAACCTGTCATGGAAATAGGACTGGAAAAAGAGTCATTCAGCTTCTCTCCCCTCAAATCCCAGGTCTGCCCCTGGGTAGCTGAGTGACTTTGGGCAAGTCACTTACATGACACAGTTGCCTCATCTACAAAACAAAGGTGTTGGGCTAAATGACCTTTTTTCTACCTCTAGAGTTCTACACTAAGATTTTCTCAAGGGTCATTGATCCACTGGGGGTATGATGATTCTACTTACAGGTGCATTTTTAAAAGCAATTTAACTTAATGGTGAGCAATAGGAAATGAATGTAAGACAGTAAATGTAGAAACCTCTCTATAAATGTTCAAAAAATAAAATCATTAGCTTTCGATAATAATTGATTGAGGAAGAAATTCAAAGGGGAGAGAGAACGGGGAAGAAAAAATAGGTATGTCCATACTGAACCATCAGTCACCATTTTTATAGGTCACAAATGGCCCATTATTGGCAATTTATATGGTTCAATCTAATGCTATAGCTATAATCTTTGAACATCAAATGTGGACAAATCTCTAGGGCTATCTGGATAGGACCAGCTTTGGAGAATAACTGCGCGAAAACAGAACTATTACAGGACCCTGGATAACCCATCACTTTGGGATCCATAACTCAACTTGGTAGGAGCCAGTATGTCATTATTGTGATCCCTGAAGCAAAACAAAGCCGTGTCCTCTAACAAAAGGTAGTTAAGATACTAACGTAACACTAGAGCTACTTAAACAGATGCGAATATAGTTCTTCCTAACATATCAAGCGATAGAGACAAATAGGGGTTGATTCTGGAAGCATTCATTTTGTGCACTTGAACCCTTTTGAAATGCTCCATTTTTCCTGAGTGACCTCAATTTCAGCCAATGTGGAACTTCTCACCAGTTGTTGTTTGTTTTAGTTATTCCTGAAAAGTCTGTGAAGGAAGTCATCAGAGCACCTGGTACCATCAAGGACAGAATCAAGAAGTTGCTTGCTCACAAAAACAGCATGAAAAAGAAGCTAACAATGAAAAATGTCATCACAGAACCTGCTGGGACTCCCAGCCCTAAGGTTAACTTGCAGCCCTTCAACTCTGAAGAGAGCGTTTCCAGAGATGTAAGCCCTAATGGAGGGGAAAAAGGGAATGAAGGAAGAAAGAACAAGGAGCTGGAGGAAGAGCAAAGAGACAAGACAGCCCTGAAGAACCATGTGGAACAGGAGCAAAGCCTTCGAGGAGATGTGTTTTGTGAGTATCACTTTTGTTATTTTATACATTTTATGAAAAATGAATTGGGATTTCACCAGGCAAATGAAAGAAGAAAAGACACTTTCATGCCTTAAGGAAAATGGGTTTGGCTTTAAGTCCTGAAAAGCGGGGTTCTCTATAAGGTCTGGAAACTTAAATCTTCCACAGATCCATAATCAAATTTGCTCCCATGGGAAACAAGGAGCCTAAGTCCTTTCCCCTTGGGGGCTTTCCTGTTTGACACGGACCCTTTCTTTCCATTTCTGGTATGGTCAGCCTGCTTCTCCTGCAAAAACAGTTATCTGGCTGCCCAGCTCTCCATGTGGTGCACCTCCCAAACCAGAGTGACCCTTACCAGGTGCATCTGTCGAACTACCATTCTCCTCTTTCAAGGCACTGTTTATAGGCCCACTCAATGAAAGGAGAATTTCACAGTTGTGTGGTTTTGATTTTAATGCTCCGTCGGGCGCAACTGATCTCACAGATTTCACTGCACGCAAATTTTCAAATACGAAATACGTCTTTACTGTACTAAGTCACAAACACGACTGACGATAGGTTACGGTAGAGGGGGAAGACACGGAAGCAATGAGTCACGATACTTAAGTTAACTGTCAAATATTTGAAAATTTGTGTGCAATGAATCTGTGAGATCAGTTGCTCCCGACAAAGGGTTGAAAGGTAAAATAGACAATTGTAGGAAAGACAGTTCTAGAGTGAGCTTAAGATTAAATTTTCTCCATGGGTGCATAACTGCAGAGCCCACTGAAGTCTCAGCCCCTCCAGGACAGGTCCCATATTACCCACCCCTGGATCCCCCACACTGAGACTTTCCATTTCATTTTTGCTGGGCATCTGTTGCTCCCTCTGTATTTTGCCTTGTCTGCTTTTGGCTCCATGGCTGTTGGATTTAACCAAGTGAGAAGCAGACACAGGCCCACCCATCTAAGAACTAGCATGCCAATGACATCATCTCCCGTAATAGAGAGTGAAAATCTCACAAAAGTGTATTTCCAAAACCTGGTGAGATGGGATGTGTTCCTAATAGAGATACTTAAGTCAACTCAGGGAACCTTTGGAAAAAGATGTTCTGGATGAGGAAACTGGACCCAAGTTAATGCCTTGGAAGTGATAGGGAAATACTGCTCTAAAATATGCTGTCAATGGAATACATGATAAAACCCTCTTTGTTCCATCACTCATTCATACCTTCTTAGCGTGTGGGGTTTTAGGGTTGTCCTTAACTGATCAAGTGTTCTCTTTTAGTCCCTAAGGTGAATGAAGCAGATGAATATGGCCTGGTTCTGGTCCAAAGAAAAGCTATAACATCCAGACAGGAACGCAAAGGTAAATAACCCTTTCTCCCAGCACATGCTATCGCACGGTGTCCCATGTTGTTTTCATTTCTTCATAGGATGAGATCATTGTTTGAGTCACTGCTTCATTCTTAAATACCCCAAGGGAAAAGCTGTTACATTGTGACACACAGTGCCGGTATGAAAATAGGAGGTCCTAAATACCAATGATTACAATATAATAAAGTGGTCTTCTTCGCTCCACCACTGCCACCTGACACCTAGAGTGAAGCATTGAGGCAGATTGTATGTATGAGATGGGAGAAAATGACTCATTTGCTTCAACTCCAACACCTCAGGGCTCCCAACCTGAAAATCACCAGGTACTGAGACCTGGCCCAAAGTGCCTGTGACCTATGGCCACAGTAATGCTGCATAACAAACAACCACAAACCCTCAGTGGCCGACAGCAGTAAATATTTACTTTTGCTTATGAGTCTGTGGAATGCCTGGGCAGTTCTGCTAATCTGAGCTGGTCTGGGTGGGGCTCACCCATGTGTCTGCAGTCAGCTGTGGGAGTGCTCAGTGACTTTGCTGATCATAGCTGGGCTCTCTTCCATGCCTAGGGCCCCAGTTGGGACAACAAGGCTGGCTCAGCTCTGCTCCATGTGGTGTCTCATCCTCCAACAGGCTAGCCAGGCTTGTTCTCATGAGGCGTCGGCACTTTCCTAGAAAGAAAGCAGAGGCACACAGGCCTTTTGAGGTCCAGGCCCAGAATTGGCACAACATGACTTCTGCTATATTCTATCGGCCGAAGTAATTCACAAGGCCAACCCAGACTTAGGAGTTAAGGAAAATGCTACAAAGTCATATGACAAAGAACATGGATACAAGGAGGAGGAAAAAATTAGGACCATTTTTGTGATCAATCTATCAAAGCCTCATAATCTGGAATTTCTTTTTTTTTTTATTGGGGAGTTAGGGGATGGGAACAGCGCTGGGGAATTGGGGGAAGGAGAACAGACAAGTTGCTGTCGTTTTGTTCTTCAGTCTAGTTATGGAGGACATTGCTTCACTGGCCCAAGTTGGCACCATCATTGCGCTCTTCCCGGGTGAGGCAGATCAGTCGCCGGCTTCTGGACGGCCGCACATGGTGGCTGCTGGCCGCTCATGCTGGCTGCTGGCTACACACGGTAGCCCATGGCAACCCACTGCAGCAGGGGCTGCAGCCTATGCCGTCGCCAGCGACTCACAGCAGCCCAGCTCCAGGTTGAGCTGTTGTTCAGCATCTTAGCTGTAGAGGGCAGTGTCACTGGCCCTCATAGGTGGGATCTGAACCAGAGCCCTCTGGCATCCCAGGCCAGCTCTTAACCAATGTGCCACCCGGCCGGCCCAAATCTGGAATTTCTTAGGCATGATCCCTAATTCCTCTGAGTTTATTATATTTAGCACTTTTACTACACATGACCAATTATATGTGCTATTTCAACAAAGACATCAGGGAAAAACCTACTTATGGGTTTATCGCTTTTACTTGGTGTAAATACGAATGGCTTGGTCTTCTCTTTCCTTTTCAAGCTGTCTTTCACTTACCACTACATATGCACTAAGCTTGTGCTAACTTGATTCCCGTTGGTGCTTACCCCATGAGTACATTCTCCAATTCGGTTCCTTTGGTTTATAGGACAATCTCCACCATGAAGAATGTACCTCTCTAGTTCAGCCATCCAAAATTTAATCTGAGAAACTTCTGCTAAAACTCTCCAAAGACTAGTTACCCATGACCCAACTCCTATAGGCATCTTGTTTTCCTCCATATCTCTCCTAAGTGTTTCATTTTTTTTTGTTTGTTTAATTTTTCTGCAACAAACATCTTATTGTCCATTTTTCTGGTTAGGAAGAAAATGTTTCATAGCTCAGGTCATAAGCTACGTTCTCCAGATGCTCAGAACTTTTGCCCAGCTCTGCTAACACTTGCTAAGTGACATTAATAAATTATTTGAGTCCTCTTTGGATCCCCATACCGACTGGGTTTCTTATTTTGCTTTTTCTTCCATGATCCTTAATGAAACACAGAGAGTGTACAGTTTTTGTATATGACTCTGATTTCAAAGTTTTTTTTTTTTTTTTTTTTTTTTAGCTGAGGCATCCTTCCACCTGTTGGCAGCTCAGCGGCTGCTCAGCTTGGGCTGGGACTCGAAATGCTGTTGCTCAGAGCTCACACTCTTGAGCGAGCTCTTAACCAACTGAGCCACTCAGCTGGCCCCTGATTTCAAAGGTTCTTGAGCAAGGTGGCCTGGAGCACTCAGTCTCAATTATGACTCAGGTGGATGCCCCAACACTTCCACTTGCTGTTGGGCTTGGACAAGTCTCTTAGACTTGTGATGCCTCATTGCTTTCATGTGCAAAGTTACAATAAAAGCAACACTCCCCTCGAAGGTGCTATCTTAGCCTAGGTTCCTCAGAATCAGACCCTGAGACAAGAATTAGTGTGTGAGTGGTTAGTGTGGGAAGCAATCCCAGAAAACAGTAGTTGGGAAGCGGGGAAGTGAGCCAGGGAAGAGAAGGGTGTGTTATCAAGCACGTTTCCACTGTGGGTAACTGGAGCTCGACTCCATTGGGGAAGTCCGGGAGCCAGTGTAGAACACGTGGCTCAGAATTGTCCCACTGGAGGGGCAAGGGAGCTGGGGGACTGATACACCAACTCACATCTGACATTCATTGAAGTCTGCTCCCAGGAGGGTGCTCCTGGCCTGCCATAAAAGCAAGGCAGGACACCACTGTGGCAACTGGACCTCCATTCCAGTTGAACCCTCTGCAAGACTAGACAGAGCTTGGAGTCAGTCGGACTTCAGGTCCATGTCCAATTCCAGCACTTAGTGGTCCTACCCAAAGGCAAGGCAATGGAGGTATCTATCCACCACCGCCTGTCCATCACTGGTTGAGGGCTCTCCCAGCAGTTCCCTGGTATTCTGGTCCACCTGGCTTGGACCAAGCATGCTCTAGCCAGAGAATACTCTCGCGCAGGGTGCTGTGGGTATTTGCGGTAGAAACTTGTGTGCCTGTGCAGGAACATAAGTGCTGACAGATATTGGTGTGGCACCAACAGCATCTGTTTCGGGGTGGTATGGATTAAATCAGAGAATATATTTGAAAGCACTTTGCAAATCATAAAGTGCTATACAAATGAAATATTGTGCTCCAGAGACCAAAGTCTTGAGTTTTCTCTCTTTAAGGAGTAGTTGCCTTCATACTATTGCATTGTCCCAGTTTTCATCCCCGATCTCCTGCATGTTGAGGAAGAGTGGGGAGCTTGGGACAGATGTGCCACCACAGTTATAAACCAACTGAAAAATTCATGTACTATCTGTGGGCTGATAACATCAACTTTTAAAACTAGTAATAGCACTCCCTAAAGAATATTGAAGACTAGAAACAAGTATCACCAGGCATCTTTTAATTTTAAAACTGGAACTAGAATTAAAATATCTTCAATGGAATAGGGTGAAATCGGGGTTAAGAAAGAAAGCAACGTGAGAAAAGCAGCAGTGTGTTTGTGCTGACTTGGGATATTTTCAGAATGGACGGCACTGATTTCACTCTGATTCAGGATTCAGGCCCAATTCCAGCACTCCAGGTCTCCGGGACAAATCACTTATGACCCTCAGTTTTCCTTTCCTGAAAATGGGTCTGATTCTAGAATTTTTGCGACAATCACATCAGATGATGTGATGTATGAGAATATTTTGCAAATTGTAATAAGTCAACAACAGCTGCTGCCCCTTCTCTCTTTAGCTTTTCCCCTGCCCTTCCCATTCCTTTATTCCTCAGCATAAACTGCCAAAGCTCCGAGTCAGAGCAACAGGCTGGCATTAGTTATAAACAGAAGCATCTCATTCTCACCCCTCTTTCCCAGTTGTTATCTACATCAGGGGTCAAAAGACTTTTTTCTATAAAGGACCAGATAGTAAACTGTTTAAGCTTTGTGAGCCATAAGGTCTCTTGTAACTACTCAACTCTGTTGCTGTAACTCAGAAGCAGCTATAGATAATATGTAAATGAATGAGTGTAGTGAGTTTCAATAAAACTTTATTTACAAAAACAAGCAGTAGGCCAGAATGTTAGTCTGCTGACTCCTGATCTCCATGAAAGTAACTAGAGGTACTGATCCAAAACTTGTAATGCTGACCCTGTACTCCATACAGTGGTTATGATTTTGTTAAGATTTGTTAAGTAGAGCCCAGGGTTCAACAAAAGACCACAAAAGAAACTGAGATAGAGAAGTTTATTAGTCACAGGTCCTGGAGGGAATACATAGCATACCTCTAGGACCCACCTGGGCAAGTCAAGGCAGGGTGCTTACAGAGAAAGAGGCATGACCTGGGGCACATGCCTTTATTAGGACCTGTTTGTAGAGCACTTTGAGGTTCCCAGGATAAGACTGCATTGGTCAATTCAAACTAACAAGGTCGGGGTTTTGGTAAGCTCCTAGGGAGTCTTATCTAAGGAATGAATACACAAGGGGAAGGCCCGGGGAGGCAGGGGAGACTGTTTATCACAAGGGCTATTGGGGAAGTCATATCAGGAACATACAGGGCCGGACGAGTGGTGCAATGGTTAAGAGCTGGCTTGGAATGCCAGAGGGCCCCGGTTCGGATCCCACATATGAGGGCCAGTGACACTGCGCTCTACAGCTAAGATGCTGAACAACAGCTCGACCTGGAACTGGGCTGCCCGTGAGTCGCCGGCGGAGGCGTAGGCTGCAGCCCCTGCTGCAGCAGGTTGCCATGGGCTACTGTGTGTAGCCAGCAGCCAGCGTGAGCGGCCAGCAGCCGCAGTGAGCTGCCGTCCAGAAGCCGGCGACTGATCTGCCTCACCCGGGAAGAGTGCAATGATGGTGCCAACTTGGGCCAGTGAAGCAACGTCCTCCACAACTGGACTGAAGAACAAAAGGACAGCAACTTGTCTGTTCCCCTTCCCCCAATTCCCCAGCGCTGTTCCCATCCCCCCAGCTGCCCAATAAAAATCTTTTTTAAAAAAATACTTGTGACACTACAGGCTATAATCTTGGGCATGAACTTGCATGAGGGCTCGCATCAGTTTAAGGCCCCCACAGGCTGCTTAGCCAAACAAAATGGATTTTTGGACAAACAAAATGGACAGCAATACCATGGATGAGCTTAGCTAAACTCTTGACAGCAACTGAAAACATGGCATTGCCTTCCAAAGCTCCAAATGTTAGACATTTTTCTAATGCTCTTAATGATTACAAAATGCACCCTTTTTTTTTAACAGATTTAAACATCTCAGTTGACTGCAGCTTCGCCCATGGGGTCTGTGACTGGAAACAGGATATAGAAGATGATTTTGACTGGAACCCTGCTGATCGAGATAATGGTATTTAGATTTTACTATCTCATGTTCTGCGATATGGGAGGGTTATTATTCCTATCACTTGTTAGGTCGGGGTTGTTTGTCATGTTTGGAAACTCTTAGACCTTCCGAAGTCTCCCCTGATGAATGACTAACTTGCTTTAGCGTATTGCATTATCTTCCTTAATCCCTCTCCCACCCCACAAAGGCTGTTCCAGCAAACCTCTTCCATCTTCACTCTCCTGCTGCTGAGAGAGAGAGATGTTGGAATTCGTATAAGGTTTAAGAGTATTGAGGAAATGATAGAAAGAAGTTGTTCCTTTTCCCCGATTTGCTAGCTGTGGTGCACTGTAGTTTTTGTTACGTTTTTGTTTGTGGGGGTGGCGGGTGGGGGGAATAACTCTTGAAAGGAAATAGGACCTCTATCTAAAGCTGGAGTTTTAGTAGAGTCACCCTCAAAACATGAAAACCATAATGCATCAAATCAACAACCTGAACTCCTGGACTGAACTTTCCCTTCTGTCGCTTGAGGATTTCTTTCTTCCCACTTAACCTTGGATTTTTCTCAGCCTCAGCTCTGAGCTGCCTACTTTCCATTGCCTACCTAAACACTATTGATGGGCCTTAGCCTTCCTTTGGGGCAGAGCGTTAGCTGGCAGATCTCATTTGGAACATAAATTGCATCCCTGTTTCCTAAGGCTGACTACACAATTAGAGACAACTGTTATACACGTACCTTCAGGAACTCCAGTTCCTTATCAATTAAATAATGCATTTGGGGATGTACAGGCTCAGCCCTTAGTTAAAAGATCCTTCTTCTAGGTCCTTCCTCTGGACCAGCGGTTCTCAGCCTGTGGGTCGCAACCCCTTTGGGGGTCGAATGACCCTTTCACAGGGGTCGCCAGGTACTCGTATGTGGGCGTATCTGCCTATGGGTCTGGAGACGGATAGAGGAGCGGTGTCTCGGTTCCTAAGACCATCGAAAATATGTGTTTTCCGATGGTCTTAGGTGACCCCTGTGAAAGGTTGAGAACCGCTGCTCTAGACTAATTCTTTCTTGAGATCTTTTCTTTCAAGCCTTCACATGTAGTCAGGAAACCCAGATAGTCCCTAACAAAAATTCCTTTTAGAATTTGGTATTAGGGTAGAGGGGATACATCCCACACAGCAAGTTATGGGAGTGGGACCATCAAAGATTCAGAGCAAGCGCAGGGCAAGTTTAACCAAGCCAGAGACAATCCATCTTTGGAGAAGCTATCTTGTTGATAACCAACCTGAGTTTGTCTTTTTTTCCATCATGGCATCTCCAAATGTATGTCTACCAGAGCTATATCACATTGGGAGCCCATAGATTATTCCAGGATCCCAACCACTCACACAGTCAGCAATATCTTCAGTTGGGTTTTGATCAATGGGAAGTCCCCTATTTATAAACACCTGACTCACCAAAGACCCAGGGGTTTGCACCACCAAATTGTACTCCCTCCCCTTCTGCACCTCCATCTCTAGGTGGACTTGTCTCTTTGTACAGTGTTAAATATAAAAAAGAACCATGGGATGAATCAGCATTATTAGAAAGATAAAATCTTGAAGACCAGTCAAAGAGGGCTTTAGCTGAGAGAGAAGGGGAAACCTGCCACAGTGGGTCACAGAAGAGAATGGAGCTGGTAGAGTTGTCAGATAAAGCATAGGATGCCTAACTTTCAGATAAGCAATGAATACTTTTTAGTATAGCTCAGGCATGTTGTTGAGTTGAATTTCAAGCTCCACTGGGCATCTTGGATCCTCCAGTGTCTCTAGGAATTACACTAGCAGAAGACTCCACCCACCCAACTGTCTTCCTCCTGGCTTCTGTAGGAATTCCTCCTTCTTATCAACTTCTTCAGACCCCATTCTATGAGAATTTTTGCCTAAGTTCATCAAAGCCATAACCAGAAGATTGAAGATGAGCAAACATCCATTACCACTGGTTAAAAGATACTTAGAAGATGGATACTTAGAAATAAAAGATGTGGGGTAGCCGGTTAGCTCAGTTGGTTAGAGTGCAGTGCTCATAATACCAAGGTTACCAGTTCGATCCCCACATGGGCAGCTGAGCTGCGCCCTGCACAACTAGATTGAAACAATTACTTGACTTGGAGCTGATGGGTCCTGGAAAAACACACTGTTCTCTAATAAAAAAAATTTTTAAAAAGGAGGAAAGGAAAGGGAAGGGAAGGGAAAGAAATAGAAGATGTGTTCCTGTCATCCTAAATCAGAACTTGGAATGATATGTTACACATGGTGGTTGAGCTCTGTGAAACCATTAGTCCAAATTTAGGTATGTTGTGAATTAAATACCACACTATGGATCTACCTAAGTAACTGACCATCATACACATCATTGTCTCAGTGGGGAAATGGATTCTGAGGTTCAAACAACCAAGTTGGAAAGTCCTGGAACACAAGTTCTCCATCAGCTGCAAATTGCCTACAGTGCTAAATGATCACTTAATTAGATTCTTACCCCATATCTGCTACTATCAAGCTTTGTGAATGTGGACAAATTTCCTCAGTTTCTCTGACCCTCAGTTTCTTTTTCTATACAACAAAGTCAGCTCTGTGATCCCTAAAACCTATTGTAGCGTGAAAATTTTGTTCCTGTGTTCAAAATGAAAAGGACCTCAGCTTTCCCTATAGGAGACTATCTACTGTTCTCCCCCACCCCCTTTTTTTAAAGATTCTTTTTTTTTTTTTACTTTTTTATTTATTTATTTTAGTTTTAGCTGAGCCATCCTACACCTGTTGGCAGTTCAGCGGCAGCTCAGCTTGGGCCAGGCATCGAACCGCTGTTGCTCAGCGCTCAAACTCTTAAGCAAGCTCTTAACCAACTGAGCCACTTGGCCGGCCCCTAACTTCTTTTTTTTTCTAAATTGGGGAACAGTGTGTCTTTCCAGGACCCATCAGCTCCAAGTCAAGTAGTTGTCTTCAATCTAGTTGTGGAGGGCGCAGCTCAGTGGCACATGTGGGGATTGAACTGGCAACCTTGGTGTTATGAGCACTGTGCTTCACCAACTGAGCCAACCGGCCACCCCTATTGTTCCTTTTTTTATAACTATTTTATACATTACAGCCAAATCCTTCACAGCGGCCTCATTCAGTGTGCATTTTCTTCTCTTAAAGCTCTTGGCTACTATATGGCAGTTCCAGCCCTGGCAGGCCGTAAGAAGGACGTTGGCCGATTGAAACTTCTCCTCCCTGACTTGCAGCCCCAAAGCAACTTCTGTTTGCTCTTTCATTACCGTCTGGCTGGAGACAAAGTAGGGAAACTTCGAGTGTTTGTGAAAAACAGTAACAATGTCCTGGCATGGGAAGAGAGCACGAGTGAGGATGGAAGGTGGAAGATGGGGAAAATTCAGTTGTATCAAGGGATGGACACTACTGAAACTGTAAGTGGAAAAACAGTATTAAACTAGATATTTACATTCTTTTTCAGTGATTTAACACGGAGAACAAAACACTTCCTGAAGTACCTAGGCATGAGGGCTGCAAAGATGAATAAGACTTTTCTCCTACACTTAAAGAGCTTATATTCTGGAGCAAAATCGGCAAGGCAATTAATCAGCACAACTAATGATAATACTTGTCAGGTGCACGCATATCACACACTGTGTGGAAATGATCTATTTTTGTGTTAGGCTCCTCTCACCAACTTCCTTCCGAACCAAGCTATAAATTCCTTAATATGTCAATGAACATCTTGCTCATTCTATGCCCTGTGCACTTATCACAATGCGTGGAAGCTAGAAACTCGTTGTTTAAATGTTTTTTGAACGGAACCGAGACAGTGGCTGATGTCTGGGGTCCCTAAGACCACCCTCAGGTTCCGTGATTCCTTAGAAGGAAATTAGAACAGATTCCTCAGAAAAACTGTTATGTTCATGATTACAGTTTGCTACAGTGAAAGGATACAGATTAAGGGTGGGGTTCAGGAGAGACTGGGCACAAGCTTGTAGCTGTCCTCTCCCAGCAGAGCCATATGGACAGTTCTTAATTCTCTCAGCAATGATGCGTGACAACATGCACAAAGTGTTGTCCACCAGGGAAGTTCATCCAAGCCGTGGTGTTGAGGGGTTTTACTGGGGGGCGTTCTGCCGGCACGAATAACTGTGGCTCACCTTAGTTACTCAGTCTCTAGCTTCTCCAGAGGTCAGGTTGATACGTGGGACCCAAGGACCCACCATAAATCACATTGTTAGCATAAATTATCTGGCATGGCCAAAGACACTCTTAAGAGGTAGGGTATTCCAAGGACTTACAGGTGATCTCCCACAAAGGTCATTCTACCTTCTATTGGCATTGTCTCCTCAAGGAGGTTAAGCTTGTGGGAGAACAGCATCAGGAAGGGGATTGTCTTGTAGAAGAGTCTCTTGATAAGAGAACATAAGAAGCCTGCCTAATATTTTTGTACCAGGGTAAGGAAAAATGCAATTAAATACAAATTTAAATAGGGCATCAATTAATTATCCTGACATTTATGTTTAGTTATCCGGGAGTAAGTTTCAGCCAGGGATTTCAGTGATGGAAAAGCCACCATATCTCAAGATCCAGACATGCCTACCCTTATTATCCCACTTATTTCAGCTGCTGTGAGATGTCTGCTTTTTGGCTCACTGCTTTCAAAAATTAATCAGGAAGACCACCTGCCTGAAAGCAGTTCCTTCCTGAGAAGAGACTAGGGCAGGAAGAAATTTCTATACCCAGTTGTGCTATCACTTCCCACTCAGTGATAGTTTGTTCTCAAGAAAATGAATCCAGGGAGCTTAGGGGCAACAGAGAGCAGCCCAGGCAGTAGGCAATCACAGCCTCTCTTTGCCCCCATTTGTCCCTCTGAGGCTTCCTCTTTTCTCTTTGGAGAGCCCAGAAAAGTGGGACACAGTGGTGACAGCAAGCCTAAAATCATGCCATCTCTGCCACCTTGGAAACCATTCTATGATTATTTATGAAGCAGGAAGAGATGCTGTTGGGGATGGTGAATAGTTACATGATGGCATTATTGTAAGCATGATTCTTAAAGCATCTTTCTTTACAATGCCAATTTCTATAAGTTTGAATTTATTTTTTAAAAAGCTTACAAAAGACAAAGGGAAATCACTTTACTAAAAAAATTAAGATTATAATCATTTCACAGTAGCATGAGTGTTTCCATGTTTTGTATTTTACTTTCCACATAAACACATATTTTAATCTATTTGTAACCACAGTATGTACATGTTGTTGTTGAATTCTTTTTGATAGAATTACATGTGTGTGTCATTTTTAAGAATAACATGTTCCAAATTAAATATTCTTTTTTCTCTAAAATTTTTGTTCCAAGGTAACCTTAATCATCTTTGAATCAGAATCATTTTGCTGTCCTCTAAATCTACTTATCTCTGATATTGAGAATTAAGGAGCCCACTAGGCATATTACCTTCTTTATTACTTCTCCTTATAATGAGTGGTATTTAATAGGTGTTCCATAAATTGTAGGTATTATTATTTTCATAATTATTGAATTAAAAAATATTCTGGTGTCTTTTTCTGATTATAAGGACACCATGAACTACTTTTGAAAAAACATTATAAAATTGAAGAAACTGATAAACATCATTCAGCAAAAATTTATTTTAATATTTCTTTGAAAATATTTCTGGGTGAATGAGTGAATATAAAACAGTCACGGTATATCCTTCATTTTTTGGAATGAATCACGCCTGTCATTTTGTGTTCAATTTGAAGATAAGGTGTGTTTTTTTTTGTTTTCATTCTGTTTTCTATACAGTAGAAATTTCTAAACTATAAAGAAATTTGCTTCTCTTCTGATTATTAATAAATGTCTTAGATAAAAATGATTATTGCCTATTATGAAACATTTTTCAACACATGAAACCAATGACATTCCAGATAATTTCTGAGTATGTGAATCAATATTTTAAGAAAAATAACTACTATAAACTACCAAAATCCTAATATATCAAAATAATTCCTTTTTAACTATATAGTTTTGTATTAGATGTTTACAGGGAATGTTTCTTCTAGCCAGTTTTTTTTAAAGAAAATCATATTTTACTTTTGCTTTTTTTTTTTCCTTTAAATGGGAGTTTCAAAATTTCCTCTTTTTTTTATTGTTAGTTTCAGGTGTACAGAACAATGCAATAGTTACGCTTTTCACCCTCACAAAGTAACAACCCCCCTCCCCCATCTATTGCCCTCCCACCCCCAATATCATGCTTATCTATTACAATTCCATTGAATCCGTTCCCGCACTCTACTCCATGTCCCGAGGTTATATGTATATATAATTATAGTTGACAT